CTATGTTCATAGCAGCACAATTTGTAATTGCTAAAATGTGGAAGCAAGTCAAATGTCCATCGACCGAGGATTGCATAAGAAAATTGTGATAGTTTTATATAATGGAATATTACTCAGATGTAAAGAAAGATAAACTTGAGGCTTTTATAGGTAATTGGTCACATCTAGAGACCATACTCATAAGTGAAATAAATCAAACATACATGTGCAAGCACCAGATTGTTTCACTAGTGTAAAACTTGAAATAATTAATTTAAACTCGGAGGTATGATAGACACTGTGAAATGATAGGAAACCGCTGAAGAGTAAAGGGCAACTGGGATGTGGGAAAGGAGAAGGGAAAGAAGGAGAAATTTTGTATGTATGTATATACAGGATAGTTAACATGGTTGTTCTTCTGTCTTCTATTTCTTTGCTGAAAGAAACTGTCAATGAGTCTTTAGTTGAGCAGTATTGCATGTCTGTATCTGTTTTCTCGAGAAGCCACTTTGAAGATATGAATATGTAATTCAACAACCATTGTTAATTCCCTACCACTTTGTAACTCCGTATTGTCTGTACTGTTCTTTTGCTATGTTGTAAAATTTTGTCTGTCTGTTAATGTTTTCCTCTTTTTATTTAAAAAAAAAAAAAAAAGGTTATTTTAATAAACTTGCCTTTTTTTAGTAACCCAGAAAGGCTATGATATAGTACTGATACTAGGGTGTAAAGCATGAGACAAGGAAAAAAAAGTAATGAAAGGATAACTGAGAAAGGAGGAAAGGATTAAAAGTGAACAACAAATCAAAGGAAGAAAAGAGATAAGACTTTGTTGATATTTTAAATCTGGACTGGAGGGTTTGAGAAGGTTATGTCAACATGTGGAAAAAGGGAGAAGGAGGAGGGAAGCTGTGGGATTAGTACCAACTAATCATGCTGTAAAAAATTTTGGGTTCTCTACACAATTTTTGGTGAGAATTAACAACACATCTATGAAAGATACTACCTAAAGTGGTAATTCTTTGTCTCCTTTTGACTTCCAAATATCTCCCACAGTTGACAGAAGAGAAAGAAAAGAGGCAAAAAAGAAAAGCTATGTACCTGCAAAAATCAAAAAGTAAAGCATCCTTTCATTCCTGTTTATAGTATAGTCAGAATTTGACTAGTGTGTTCTTCCCTGTATCTTCAGAAGTGGAGAAATTTTGCCTTGTAGCAGTTGTAGGGAGCTGAGTTCCCTTCCTTTGTGGTTAACCCTAGAATGTTCCTGTCCTTTGATTGGTTTTCTTGCGTGCTAGTGAATGAAGGACCTTGTGAGTACAAATGGACTCTGAGCCCACTTCTCGTTCCTCCACAGACAGTGTTCTGCTTTGTTTCAGTTGCACTCCTGTGGGGTTTGCTAGCTAGAGCATCCGATTGGATACCTTCAATTGTGTCAGGGGTGTGAAAGGGCTCAATGTGGTTGGTCTGATACCCAGTTTTCTGCTGATTTCAGATCTCTGCCCCCTTCCCTCCATGATAAATCCCTATAGATGCTTTATGTGTGTTCTTTCTGTACTGCTCTGGGTGAGGAAGCAGTTCAACCCCCTCTGACTTCACGTCTCTACTCCCCAGATCTCCTACCCAACACTCCGTGGAGCCTGTGAACTTTGTGTTTCATATGATTTGCAGAATTCTACAGCTTCTGGCTGGTTATGGTAGGGTTGCTGTCAGATACTGAATTCTGCACTATCTTGATAGCAGGCAACAAGCAGGATATCCCATGGGCACAGATCTAGCTAATGTTAGGGAAAGTAATGGAAGAGTGCCTACTTTAGCAGTGCTTGAGTGTCTTTTCTCCTCCCCTTCATCACACAGGTTGGAACTACTTCACTTCCTTGTAACTCTGACCCACAACACTTATCAGTGTCTGGTTCTGAGCCCCTAACCAGGACCATGCCTTTGTTTCTTTCTTTCCCAGGGGTTTTTGGATCCTTACGCAGTCATTACCCTCTAAATGATTCTCTGGCGTTGAGTTTCTCTAATGCAATGATATACAAATTTCTCAGTTGCCTGGCTCCTCCCAGTGAAAAGGAGTTACGATAGGTGGGTACTGGAGGAAGGCTGCTAGCCTAGATGCTGATAGCAGTGCTACTGTGGTACTTAGCTCTTCCCTCAGCAGATTAAATCCTCTTTCAAGGTGTTATGTTCCCTGGACCCATTCTGTAAGCAATGGTGGTATCAAGGAACAGCTAAGGTTTCTTTTCTAATTAGCACTGATACTGGAATTCATCTGGTGGATTTTTCCCTTACATTACCTTTCTGTATTTGGCCGTTGTTTTCAAGTACCTGTGCTTCCTTGTGTGCATCTTAAGAGTATTCTATGACCACTTGCCTCTACTCAGCCATGGTGGAATCTCCCTAAATAGTAGCTCTTGAGAAATACCTAGACTGTATGGAATGTCAGCTGTAGGCCATTTGTAATATTGGAATAGGCACATTACTTGTTAAAGCAATCCTGCTTTCATCATAGTTATTCACCGTGGCAAGACTACAGTGGAAAACTGTGTACTGCAATGTGAAACTACAGGAGTCACGGTACGAACATCAGCAGAATTTCTAATGAAGAACTCAGATTTATATGGTGCCAAGGTATGATAATCTTTCATCTTTTGGGGGAAGTAGTTATTCAGTTTAAGAAGTAAGTACATAATCACGATGCAGGTGCATACTTTCATTCTCTTTAAAAAAGTTCAGATATTTATCTCTCTTAAGTCAGCCAAAATCTTTATGTAGCCACTGGGAGCACAGGAGCACTGTATCATTTAAAAAATAGATTAACAAGAGAAGAAATAAATCTCATAATTTTTCACAATTTCTTTTTTGTTGTTGCTGTTTTTTACTGGGACTCAAACTCAGGACTTCATGCTTGCCATGCAGGTGCTGTGCCACTGACAATTTTAAGGGAAGTTTAGACCCTAGAAATTGTAACTTCGTAAGAAATTTTTGATACCTGAAGTTCAGTCCCTTTTAAAAGTCTTGTAATACTGAGATAATTGTATATTTACATGCTCATATTAGAAATAGTATAGCTAGATCCTGTATGTATAACTTTTGTTCTCTCTCTGTAGTAGTATCATCTTATAAAACTATAGGGCAATATCATTGATTCAGTCAAAGTAAGGAATGCCACCACCCCAAGGATCTCTCATGTTGCCATTTTATAGCCAAACCTATTTATCTGTCCCATCAGCCTCTTCCTTAACAGTTGGCAAACTCATTTATTTTCTACTTGTATTTTATCACCATTTGAAGGGTGTTATAAATGGAATTACACAGTATGTAATCTTTTAGGATTGCCTTTTTCATGTAGCACAATTCTCTGGAGCCTCAGCCAGACTGTAGTGTGTGCCCATACTTTGTTCTTTTATTGTTTAGTCCAAAATGTAGGTTTTTTGTTTTATTCGGCTATTGAAGAACATCAGATTTTTTTCCTAATTTTTATTAATGTGAACCTTATCAAGAATATTTACATAAACTAGTTAATCTCATATTTAATGGTGAAATACTGAATACATTTCTCCTAATACATCTCTCCAAGGTAGAGCCAGGCGTGGTGGCACACACCTATAATATCCCAGTGCTCTGGAGGCTGAGGCAGGAGGATCACTGTGAGTGTGAGGCCAGTCTGGGCTACATAGTGAGTTCAAGGCCAGCCTGAACTACACGGTGAGACTCTGTCTCAAAAAAAACAAAAGAATCAAATGTGACATTCTTAGTCACTGTTTGTGTGCGTGTGTATGTGTTTGTATATGAGTGCCTTTTTTGGTACTGGGAATCAAACTCAGGACCTTACCATTGCCAGGCAGGCTCTGTGCCACTGAGCCAAATCCTTAACCCCTGTGTGTGCTTTTTGAAAGTGGTAAGTAATGTACAACTTGTTAGAAATCAGTTAAATGGAAATGTTGATTAGAAATATCTGACAAAAGTGATCTGTAAGAGGCTTTATCTTTGCACTTTACATTTGTATTGTGTTAAAGACTTCTAAGAAGAGATTGTAACAAACCTTTTATAGGCCTGCCTTTTAAAAAATGCATTGTCATTACCTCAAGTTGTTAACTTATAGGGGGCTGGTTTAGAAATATATCCTGGGAGTAAATGTATCCTGAGTGACAATGGGATCCATCACTGCAAGGAGGGGATCCTCATTAAGGTGAGCATTGTCTGATTCACGTTCTTTCAAAAGATCAGAATGGCCAGGCGTGGTGCCCACCTGTAATCCTAGCACTTTGGAGGCTGAGGCTAGAGCATCACCAAGAGTTCAAGGGCAGCCTGGGCTGATAGTTCAAGGCCAGCAAGACCCAACAGAACAAAACACTCAAAAAGTTAGAATGTTTTCAAGTAAGAAATGATGTTTTATTAAATTCTCATGTTGCGAATCTATTATTTTCTAGTTTTGAAAAGAATAAACAATAGTATATAGATTTTAATAGCATCAGTAGTTGGTGACTGAAAGTCTCTTAATCAAAATGTTTCACTGCTTTTACGTCTGCAGAAATGTTAAGAGTGGTGTATCACTGAGAGCTAACCTACAATGTATTAATAAGCATTGCTTTTCTACTGTTAGAATAGTGTAAAAACATGATTTTTAAAGTAGGCAATGTTAAACATGACAGTTCCTTAAGACATATGTTTTTAATGTCACAGGATTTCTTAGATGAGCATTATGATATTCCCAAGATATCCATGGTAAATAATGTCATACATAATAATGAAGGTTATGGTGTTGTTTTGGTGAAACCTACAATTTTCTCTGACCTGAAAGAAAATCACCAAGATAAAACTGAAGGTATGCTATATTTAGTATTTTTTAAATATAAAACCCTGATCTAATTTATTTTTATTTCAGCACTAATTGTGATTAAGACCTGAGTTTTTCTTCCTTAAAAATATTCTCGGAATGTGGTTGGGCATGGAGAGAAGCAGGATAAAGGTATACTATTACAGAATCTTAGAATGAAAGACATTTTCAAGGTCAACCATTTCAAGTGTTCATTCAAAATCTTGATGTTGTGGTTCTGTGGACCTGCAGTTCCCTTCTTCTGATACTTGGTTTTCTATAAGTGCATAAAGTCAGGATTGGTATGTGATAACAATGGTGGCTCCTGCTGACATTTGTTAAGGATAGAGACAGTGACATGAATTTGCCAGGTTAAGGGCTGTATTTATTTATAAGAGCAGATACTGGAGTTTGCCCTTATTTCTTATGGGTAGAAGTATCTTCCTGTTACCTGCCTTTCTTGGCAGCAGAGGTGAGCTAGTTCCATGGATATTAATTGATTTTTAAACCTCGATGCAAATTATTACATCAATCGTAGAATAGTGAACGTTGATGTGGATATAGAAAGTTTAAAGCAGTGTAATATTAGCCCTTGTCATCTTTCAGAATCTGCTCCATTTTATCTGTAGAAGTTTTATCTCACAGGTCTCATATTGTGAAATTAAGATTTCAGGTGGATAGGACTCTTACCTGAAAGCTCTGGTGGAAGACTCTTTCAGATTCATTCATTGGCAAAATCCATGCCTTTAGGTTATGGGACTGGGAGTTCCATTTTCTTATTAGCTGGGGATCATGCTCAGCTCTATGTCCTATAGGCCTGTCTACTTCAGCAACAGATAGTCTCCCTCACAGTGAATCTCTAGTGATTTCCTCCTCTCCAGTCAGCCGGAGAAAACTGATTAATAACTTAATCATTGCAAAATTAGAATGCAACATGCTTTTACTATTTAACAATAATGAAAATACTGCCAAGGTTTGGGGAATCTTAGGACCCACCTAGAATTTGCTGTTAGATTGACAGTTTATTTAAGTAAAGTAGTTCCTAATGCAGAACTTAGCAGATGATAAATACTTAAGAAATGTCTGTTGAGGAATGAGAATTCTAAGATGAAAGTAAGCGGAGTTCAAAACATGAAGATTGTTGAGACTCTATGGCCAGAATTTTAATCAGAGCAGGAATCCTTGACAGAAAAACTTGAAACCTGTAATGAACTGTATAGAAATATGTTTTTATTTGGTTATCCTGTATATTTAACCATGTTTGTTATAATTTGTTTCTCCAGATAACGAAGCAGTTAAGATTCAAACAAGTGGAGGGGCAGATGCAGCTGAAAGAGTGGATTTAGGGGAGTTGATTCACTGTGCAACTGATGAGATAGAGATTTATGAAAGAGCTGCTGATCTTTCTAAACAAGTTGAGGGAAATTGTGAAATTATAAATGAACTAGTTGCTGCCTCCACACAAAAAGGCCAGATGAAGAAGAAAAGGTTGAGTGAACTGGGCATCACACAAGCTGATGACAGCTTAATGTCTCAGGAAATGTTTGTTGCAATTGTGGGGAACCAGTTTAAGTGGAACGGGAAAGGGAGTTTTGGCATATTTCTCTTCTGACCACAGTGATGTAAATGCTAACAAAATGTTGGATTTTGCACATGTATGTAGTTTGTTTCATGTCTATATTTGATATATGTGGTTGGGCTTGAGTGAAATGTAGATTTATTTCTACCTGGAAGTATTACACATAAAGCAGTCCTCTACAACAAAGATCATACGTGTAAAATAGAAAATAATTGAAGATTTCTAATCTAGAATATCCTTAAAGAATACGTTTTTCATATTAAGCTTGTTAATAACTTTCTAGCATAAATACATTTTACCCCCAAAACCTAAGACTAATTTTGTCATCAAGGTGCAGAAACATGGGTCTGTTAGACCCACATTTATTCTTTAGAATATTTCTATTGATGAATTATTTTAATTTTATGAATTTTATGGTATTAAACAATGAGTACTTAACAGGAAAAAAGTTACAAAAATACAGTATTGAAGTTTAATATTGAATGTTCATAAAACATCAAAAAAATCGACTTTTTTCGTATACAAAATCTAAAAAAAAGCACAAATTGTTATATGAACTACAATGAAAATACTAATAGCACTTTACCAGAAAAAAAAAAAAAAAAGTTTACCTTCAATTATCATACCTATGACAACTGCACGTTCCGTCCACATATATTGCTTACACTGACAGCACATATGTTTAGCTTTCCTGGCCTTTTTGTAGGACATACTTTACATCTTGCTGGTCTTGTTTTGTCAGGAGGTTCTTATATAGTGTACAGATAACAGGAGCACAAAATATCAATAAAATAAAGTGTTAAATTCTTAATATGTATTATGCCTTTAGAATAATCAATACTTTCATGTCAGCTATGTACTTGCTTAGAAAACCTAAAAGATAACATCAAAAATAAATTCCTATATGAACTACAATGAAAACACCAGTAGGCTGAGAACTGCATAGTGAAACCCTGCTCAAAAAAAAAATTATATATATACCTCTATAATAAAAATAAGCTTTAGTTCACCTATTATACCCAAGGCAGTCTTCACACATGACAACTGCATGTTGCATGTTCTCGCTTACACTGACAACACATATGCTCTTATCTCTTTTTCTGTTTTGTCAGGAGCTTGCTACTATATTGTATAACACAAACTCAGGGAAATAAGATATCAATAAGATAAAGTATCAGATATATAATGAATACTTGGAATAGATATCAACATTTTCATATCAGCTGTTTACTTGCTTACAAAGCCTAAAAGATAACATCTGAAGTAACTTCCTATATGAACTACCAGTAGAACTCTACTACAGAAATAAGCTTTGCTTCAACTGTCACACCCAAGGCAGTCTTCACACATAACAACTGCATGTTCCGTACACAAGAATTGATGACACATGTTTTGTTTTCCTGCCCTTTGTTGCAGGGCACAGTTGACATCTTTTTTGTCTTCCTGTTGTAGCAGGTCTTTGTGATGCTGCTTTTGCCTGTTTACCGGGCAGCTCACCAGTGTGATTCACAATTTTTTGCATAGTTCCCTGGGCAAAAACATTTTTTTCCTCTACTGTAAATGATCTCTTACGAGCTGCAGTCCCAATCCTCAGAAAATTTCTCTAATATTTTGCACTTGTTATTTTCTTTGTGAACTATCAAACTATTTATGCCACACATGTTTAGGATTGAGTAAAACACAGTGGTGGCCAATACTTGGTGTTTGAGGTGACATCATAGTTGCTGTATAACTCATTAACAGCATCTACTCCACCTTGAGTTTTGTTGCAGAAAGTTTCCATCTTCTCTTTTGCTAAGGTTTCCCTATCAGCAATTCCCCAACATGGTGAATTGTTGACATCAGTAGCAGCACTTTGTTTTTCTTTGCCATATATGAGGCCAGTGTTCTATCTTTCTGAAATTCAAAGCTTTTACTGTATAGTTCTCTGTTTTGAAATTGCAGCATTCATTTGGAATTTCTGCTTTATTCTTGTGTACAGTTCCTGGTCATCTTGTGTGTGCTCTTTTAGCAAATGTAACATCAATTGGAAACAGGTAAACCAATTATTGAATGTCACATTCTGAATAGTTTGGGAGATGGGAGCAACAAGCCTGTTCACAACATTATTCAGTTTATTACTGTACGAATAAGGGTGTGATGGCTGAGTTCTAGGGTAAATGTCTAAACTGAAAGCATAGTGTTCACATCAATAAGAGCATAAGTTTTCTGCCACGTTTTGACCCTTCACTTTTCCATAAGTCTTTTTTTTTTTCTCTTTTTGAGACAGGGTCTTGCTATGTGGTTCAGGTTGGCCTTAAGCTCACTTTGGAGCCCAGGCTGGTCTCAAACTCACAAAGATCCTCCTACCTCAGCCTCCCGTGTGCTAGGATTACAGGCATGCGTTGCCATGCCCAGCTTCCATAAGTCTTATATTCCTGTGATCACCGTGAGAAATCTGTGCAAAGACAACAGACCTATGAATGCTTTCAGTTCAACTAATGAGGTGTCATAATAAATACATTTTTGTATATGGCTGTTAGTATTGTTATGCTTGTTTCTTAAATTTGAATAGATCATAACTCTTATTTTTCAGATACTACTAAATATTGAAGGATTTGATTTATTGTTTCACCATTGAAAGCTATTTCACTTTTACCTTTTTAAACCATTGCAAAAAGGTTTAGAAAGTAATGCTGATAAGTTCTGCACCAGCTTCTCCCAAATACTGATTTAAAGACCATTTATTCAACTTTTTTTCATCAAGTTATTTTTCCAATTGAATTTCCATTTATATCTTGAAATTTATATTTTGTGTATATCAACTAGCTCAAATATCAAGTGATAATTTGGCTAGATAAAGTTAATATCTCTGTTCCTTTTTAGAATGTTTTCAGATTTCATTGTCTCTTTTGGTTTCAATCTAAATTTCTAATTTTTTTTTAAATTTTAAAGGTAGAAAGGAAATTAACAGACACAGACATTTGCAAAATAACTCAAAAACAATACAAGCAATACAGAATTTCAGATCAGGTGATAGGAAATTAACAGTGGTTGTATTGATATCTTCAAGTTGGTTACTCAGATAAATATAAGCCTGTACAATTGATCAAACATTAGTTGTTCCTTTCAATAAAGCAATAGAAATCAGTAGTACAACTATCTTAGGTGTATACATACTGTTCCCTTTTCTTTTTTCCAAATTTCTATCTTTATTCATGTGATCAGGTAATAACTATTACTGATGTCCTCTTTGAGTAAGCATGTTTTGTCTCAATGAATAGTTAAGCAGCTCAAAAGACTTAGTATAGGAATGGAGAGAAGCCCTGTGAAGGGTATGAGTTTGACATTTGAGATGAAAATATTGGCATAAAAAAGTAGTTCTTTATGTTGACTGAGTTGCCAACTGTTAGGTCTTTTGGTCTACCTCTGTCACCTTGAGTTTATTCTGTTAACAAAATTTGTTACCTTGATTTGAGTGCTTTATTATTTGAGCATCTTTAAAAGTATTTTTCTTCCTCAATTTCATGTTCTGTTATTGCATTCTAGATATAAATGTGAATGTATTTTCAAAAACTGCTGAGAGCACTCAATCCCAAGTATCTGAGAGGTGAGATCGAAATGTGAATGTGGGAAGGTAGAAATTGATCACATGTGTGGGTCTGGTGGAGGTCTGGTCTCAGAAACAAAGAGTGCCCAAGGCAAGCCACATGAACAAGCTATTTCAGTCCAGAAAACACCAAGCACACAAGGCAATCCAAGCAATGGGTGAAGGCAAAGAAGTGTCACATGACACCAACCTGTCAAATGTATAAATAAACATGCCATGGTGGTTGAGAAGTTCCTTTCCTCCCATCTGGAGAGTGGGCTCCACCTGGTCCCAGCTTTCTGTATCTTGTCTTCATTTCTTCACTGTCCTTCACTGTCCTCACCCCACAAAATTCAAGAGCTGTGAGGGCCACAGCAGAATGGTGCCTGGACAGGGCCCCAGGGCATGAGGAAATTTTTGTCATTTAGCAGGTGAGGACACCTATAGTGTGCACACAAAGGAAGAGAGGTGTATTGATATTCTCAGTATTGAACCCATCGATATCATATTGAGCCCAGAATTGTACTGATATTTTCAATATTCAGCACATTAATATCATCAATACTGAGCCCCTATCAGATGTAAACATGGGGCAAACAGGTTCTCAAGAACCACAAATATATATGGAAATGCTTGTTGTGTTGATTGCTGTATTTCTTTTTGTAGATTTGGACTAGAGAGTGCATTAATGGTCATAAGCTTGTTGAGATGAGCACAAAAGATTTGGCTTGCAGCACTATTTTAAAATCAAGTCCCAAACCAGAAAAAGATGGAGGGACAACAGCTGCCCTGATAATCTTAACTGAGCCACAAGCTGCAATTCCCTCTTTTTCAGCTTAAAAAAGTTTAACTGCATCACAGGTTGGAACTTCTGCCTCTCAGTAATTAGAGCCATTTTATCTCTCTCCCTTATAATTGGTACTAAAAGATGCCAGTGGGTGGAGGAGTCCATAGAGGATTTTCAACCTACCTACCTTTGGGAAGCAGCTAGAGCTGGAAATGGATCACATGCTGGGGCAAGGCAAGGCTGGTCTGAAAATACAGTGCCCAAGGTGAGCTACATAAACAAACTGTTCCAGTAAAAAAAACCACCACCAACAAAACAAATAGCATGCAGCCCCCCATCCAGGAACACTGCTAGGCAAAGGGGTGTCAGTTGACACCAACCTGCCAAATGTATAAATAAATGCACTGCAGTGGTTAAGCAGTACCTTTTTCTGCCATCCAAAGAGAGGGCTCCACCTGACCTCAGCTTTCTGTATATTGTCTCATATCTTTATTTCTCCATCTTCTTGCTGGTTTTCCCACCCAGGAACTTTGAGAGCCATGCTGGATTAGGCATCTACCCTGTTATTAAACTTTAAATCCCCAATAATCCAGAACAAATTGTATGTCTTCATGAAGCTGTACACTTAAGACCCTAAAGGATTAAAACAAGCTACTGCTCCCTATGGCCCTATGGCCCCTTTTGCCTTGGATTTAGGACAAGATTATGGCCTCAAATCATTGGAAAGGAATAGATAAAGCATGTTTAAATCCAGGGGATTATTTATTGTATAAAGGAAATTTTTAAAAATAGTGCACAGATCAAGCTGATTACAATGCTCACACCATAGCCATTATAAAAGACATGTTAACCAGAGAAGGTGCCTTTGCTGCCATAAACAATCAACTTACTTTTGAATTGCAAGTATATAAAGAAAGCAGCTCCCGCAAGGGTTTGAAGGGAACTTCCTTCAAAGGGTAAGACATCCCTTTATTTAACTTTCATTCATGAGAACCCTGATGAACCTTTTCAAGATTTTGTGACATACTTATTATAGGCTAGTGGGAGGGTTACAAGTGACACAGAGGCTAACAAGTTTCAACAGTTGGCCTTTGACAATGCAAATAAATGGTGTAAAGAGGCATTAAGACCTACAAAAAATGGGCTCTGCTGTTTGAGATGATTCAGATTATTCAGATATTGGCCCTTCATATGTACTACAAGAAAGGGAGAGAACAGGGTTACTTGCTGCAGGGGTGAGGAACATTTTCTCCAAAATTGCTGTGTTGCACCTGCAGAGTTCTTTAACAAAACCTACTATCTGTTCCTTTAACAAAACCTACTATCTGTCTAAAGTGTAGGTGAGGTATCATTTGGCTACTTGGTATAGATTCAAAGTTGATGTGGAAGGCCAACATATTCTAGAAAACATCAAGTGAAGCTTGCCCTGGCCCTGCAAAACAGGAGTGCTACAGTG